AGTGGATAAGGAGTTGGCCTCACAGTCAGGAACATGGGTTAAAGTCCTACCCCTGACACATCCTGGCTGTGAGACTGGGTAAGTTACCTAATTTCTCAGTGCCCCAGACAATTCTCCAAGACTCTAAGTTGCAGAAAAGGTGTCCATCTGCACTGCTAGAAGTTCTGCCCGGATAGCTCCCTAACTCAATGAAATAACACGTCTAAGAAGTATAATAAAATGCTTATCTAATGCAATGTAATTATAAACACAGTATAATGAAAAACACTGAACCTGAAATCAGGAGAGACATTTGTTTTTGAGCATTCCAGTTTTGCCACTGTGTGGCCTTTGGTAAATCATTTCCCCTGTCTGGATCTCAGTTTCCTCATTTGTAAAATGGAAGCATTAGACTAGATGATCTTTAAATTCTCTTCCAGCTATTATATTCTAAGAGAACAACATTTGGCAAAAATCCAATATTCCACAGTTAGTCTATAAGGTTACTTCTCATCTTTTTTGACAAAAATCCTAGAAAGCAGGAGTTATTATTGCCCCCTATCAGTAGTATTGTAATAGGATGCCACTATGCCACTTTCTAGAAATGGTGGACATATTTGTCTAAAAGTACTAGCCATAAAGGTCATATGACCATATCATAGGGCCAGAAGGAATGTTAGAAGCCATCTAGTCCAACTTCTTCATTTTATAGATAAGGAAACTGAGGCCCAGAGAGGGGAAGTGATTTTCTTAAAGTCACAGAGGGGTTATTTCCATTATACCATACTGCCTCCCAAGGGGTACATAATCACCTTGCTTCTTTCCTGCTTCATGCTGGAGTGCATATTCTTTAAACATGGATGTCAACAGAACTTAACCATCCTCATGTCTTTTTCTGTGGAAGATCACTCAACCATGCCATGGGGGTGATGGTGTGATCAAACTACTTCACTCTTACTCCACCTAAGGAATATGGGAGTGAAGCAGTCAAATGAAATGTATAGAAGAAGGGAGAAAGGAAGGAGAAAATAGTGAAAATAATGGACTGAACCCTTCTCCAACCCATCTTCTATGTCAGATTTACTTGAGCCTATTTTCCAGTCAATGGGACAGAGGATCAAGTACATTACTAAAATGTAAGTGTGCTACAGGAACCAGGATTACTTTCAGAGGTAATATAGTCTAAGGGGAAAACAAACAAACAAAAAAGGTCTCAGTTGGAAGTTTGACACCCTTGGCCAACTGTGTAATTTAGTCTCTCTGTGCCTTGGTTTTCACATATGTAACAAGAATAACAGCTGCTTCTACTTGCTTCATAGAGATGTTGTTTGGATAAATAATAATGGCTCTACACTACCCTATCTGACTTTATTTCACTGTTCCCCAACCTTCACTTTTCTCTAGTCATATCAAATTTTCACGATCCTCTAAGGACATCATCATCTTCACTTGTATGTCTTTTATCGTTGGCTGCAAAGGAGGAATAAGAATTTTAATAGGGGGGAGTATGGAGGGAGGGAGAAGGGATATGTTTAGGTGGTGTGTCATCCTGGGGCACTTAAAGCCAGGAGTTTGGGGAGACCAGAACTGAAAAATGGTAGTTAAATGCTGAAAGGCAGGCAGCAGGATTTTCACCTAGTTCTGCACTCTACCTTCTCCTTCCTACATCATGTCTTCCCTCTCCCCTCCTCTACTCCACCTTCTGACCCCTATCCCAGGTCCCAGGACTCAAAACTTAACTCAATGTTATTAGAACTCTAGCTCAGGTACACAATGGACTGGTTTGGAAACCTAGTCACCATTCAACATTGTTTTTTTAGAAAATTCTTCCAAGTTCCAAATTGATTTAGAAATTAACTTTATCAATGCAATCTGTTTTTAAGTAGGGTACTGTACACAGCGTTTGGCTGGCACTGGTGAGAGCATATTGAAGATCAGAAATCTGGAGATCATGCAGAGACAAATTATTGTGGTGGGAAGGAGTTTGGTGTTCAGGTGATAAACAAGTATAATCACATTTGTCTCTGTGCGAGAGGGTGCACCCTCATCCTACCAGTCTGGAATTTATGGGTCTTGCTGCCCCTAGTTCACTTAGGTTACTCCAAATAAGTGAATATATAGGAACTTGTATCAAATGAAAATTTGAACCCACTGTACTAGGTTTTCTCTTATAGCTTATTTGAGGCAGGGATAGCTTTCCCAAGTACTACATAATTTATCCCTGTTACTTGTGGGAACACTCCACTTTATCTTTCCAGGGGGTCTTGAGAAAGTTACTTTATTTCAGTGGGGAGAGTAAGAAGGCATCTCTTTCACAGGGATGGTATGAAGTTTAATGTCAGGGTTTGTAAAACTATACTTGGACCAAACAGCCAGAACATGACCCATGGTAGTCAAAAAAAATGAGTCAATAGCCAGGCTCAGCTGTTCTTGGCTAACACTGACCATATTTGCCTATAGGCCAGAAAATTACACTCTACTCAGAACTGAATGTACACATCCAGATCCTGGGAAAGGAAAGACATAATTGAGAAATTTCAAAAATGTATTATAGTTTTAGAGCTAGAAGGAGCCTTGGAGATCATCCAATCCAACCTCCAAAACTTATAGAACAGGAAACTGAGGCCCAAAGAGGTTAAGTGCCTTGCCTGACTCTGGGCATTGCTAACAAAGAAAAAAGCCAGGATACAGACTCAGTGTCTTGGACGCCGGAATCAATTCTCTTTCCATAGTACCATACTGCCTCCTAAATTTTCTTGTTCAAACAAAAAACAAAATCTATCGCAGAACAAAGAAAACGATTTGTCTCCTATTCTAATGCTATTCTTTTATTTAAGGAAATGGTAGGAAAATTCTAATAAACTATAAAAGAGGGATTCTTTTAAATTAAAAGTCTTTCCAGGCCTGGAATTAGGATTTTCTGGTAAGAAAACTACTGGTGCCAAAGCAATTTTTTTTTTGTTTACTATTAAAAAAAATAACATAAAAGTTGCCAATGTTCAGGGGAGCAGATGTTTTCCAAATTTTAAAAACAATAAAATAGATATATCATTCAGTGCCCCAGTTTATGGTGGCTTTTTGGTCAAACCAACTCATTCCTTGGTTTTCATTTGGCATCCTTCTCCTTTTAGTAAGAATGCCACAAATGATGCTCTCCTTGTAGAGAGCTTTGTAAGTTTAGGACACTTAAAGCTCTCTCCTAAATACCTTCCATTCACTTGCAAGGAAATTGGAGGCACTAATGACCAGAGTATGTCATAAAACCTGAAGGTAATGATGCAGGCAGGAATGGAGCCCAAATTTAGAACTTACAGATACATAATGAGCTAGGTGTTTTGTACAATGCTGCCTTATTTTTTGTAAATTATAATAAAAATAATGTGCAGAAGACATGCACAGAGGTGGAAGCAGATGCTGGAAATCAAGCCTATTTCCCCTTTCACATACATAATTATTAGAAAAACAATGTTAAAGATAATGATCAAACTCCTGGGTTACAACTCTTATTGTTTCATCATTTGTACAACATTCAGTTGGAAGTTTTCTACCTCAAACAGTAAGTTTGAAGAATTGATAATATTTTTAAAGCAAAGTAATTGATGAGTATCACAGAATTCTTGTGTTCAATTTTTGTTTCCTTAAATAAGGCCTTGGAATCTTACATTAGGTCACAGCTTTCATGAGGAATGGTTGCTTTTCACCTTAAAAATTTGAAATACTGAGAGGAAACCAAGGGGAAAGAACAAAAAAAGTTTATCATTGTTTTGTAGGAGATAATCCCTAAGCACGAGAGGCAGCGTGGTGCAGTGGATAGAGAGCAGACCTCTCAGTTAAGAAGACCTGGGTTCAAGTCTTGACTCTGATATACACCGACTGTGTGATCCTGGCCAAGTCACTTAACTTCTCAGGACCCCAGGCAACTCTCTAAGACTATGGGTTACAAGATAGTTGTTGATCTGGATTGGTAGAGGGAGTTTCCTCTTTGGGAACTTTTTATACTGATGAAACTATAAATCTATATTAAAAATACCTGGCAATCATATCTGTAGCTTATAGATTTTTTAAAACAAAAATCTAAAATGAAATAATTCCATTACAATGAAATCATCTTCATTATCGAACAACTCAAATGCCACCCCATAAATTGTATTTTCAAACAGAGAATTCCATTGCAGAGGATCAAATGTGACTTCTTTTAAGTTCATTACAATATGCTTTCCTACCTATCTTATAAGAAGCAAGTGCTTTTGAGCAGAAAACTGAGCAGGGCAAATTTCCTCTCTCCTTATTGGAAATAGAATAGTTAAGTCTTTTGACAACACTCAAGATAGTCACTTTTGGCTTGATGAAACAAGATGGTGAATTTATTTTTAATGAGAAAAATTTGAGCTTTTAAAAAGCAAAAACAGCAGTAGCTAACATGTGACCACTGAATGCAAAGACTGAATTTTGTTAGTCACCAAGCCACACTGAGTAGCTCATAACCATCTGTTCTTTGCAGCACTGTCTCTATGAACTTTAAAATCCTTAGACCGAATGAATGAGCTCCTGAGCAGCAAAAATGCCTGAAGCATCATAAATAATTACTAAAAAGGAATCCCTACCCCCAACCTTCCCACCCATAATAAAAATGCAATGGGCAACTGTTTAGAGAATTTGATCAAGAGCACTGGCTTAAACGCATAGTCTGGGATCACTTCAACAATGCAGTTTTGACAGGACTGCCCATTATAATCAGTCAGCATTTCTGGTATTAGGAATAGAAATGGTAATAGGGTAAATATTTTAAATGGAAGAGTAGCCCCAAACGGTTGAATTCTTCAAACAGTGTAACAGGTATGTGTAATTTTATTTAAAATGTATCCAGTAATATTTTCCATTTGGAATCACCATTTTTAACCTCTTTTCACAGATCAAATATAAACATTATTTCTTGCTTTCTTGGAATTTTTTTTAAAGAAAGTTCTAAGTAATTTAACAGAAGAGAAAAATGAAATCCCAAAGATTAAATAACAGGACCTTTATATACAGCAGTGGGTTCTCTCACATATTGGGATCAAAGTACATACAATGACTATTCAGTTAAAAAAAATCCAGCCATGCAAATCATCTTACAATTCACTTATTTTACTTTTTTGAAGCTCTGACTTTCACATCCACTGGCACATATTTTAAAATGTCATATTAACTTTTGTGAACATAAATTGGTATAGTTTTTTTGTGTATGGTTTGCCAGTTGAAAGCTGACAGGCAAACAAACAAATGTGCTATCATAGCAATACTGCATTACACCAGTAAAAGAAAGAAAAAATCCTTATTCTTATTCTACCATCAATTAATTACTTTGAATCCCATCCTGGAGTAGGGGTTGCACTTTTTATTGGAAATCTCACCAGTCTTTTCTCATTTTGTCTGTGAATAAAGCATACCACAAAATCAGCATAGAGAGCACATTTTGACCATGTGGGCAAGCTCATCCTGCAGATGATCTTGTACCATGAGAACCTGGCAATGTCTGAATTTTTTTTTCTATGAGGCAAAAGGTCAGAGAGATCACAAATGAGGTCTAAATTTAGTCATAGCAGACCATAGCGTCACGTAAAGACAAATCTTCAAGTTACGTTGATTTGCTAGAAAACGAAATGAAGATAAAACAGCACAGCAAAAGTATCTGCAATGCACTGCTTCCCTATTAAAGATGAACAGCTTCATTTACATTGAAATGGACTGAGCAGAAATGAACAGATTTTCCATCTCTGCTCTTTGGTGCAGCTGTCATGGCAAGAAGATGAAGACAATGTGGACTGCATGGGGGGAAGGTAAATGAAGGGAAATGATAGCTTCTCAACATTCACTCTAAAGTGACTTCAAGATGACCATTTATTATTGAAACATAACCCTAAACAGTATTTTTTCTACCCAACTCTCTCCCTCCCTCTTTCTCTTTCTGTAAACAATCTGTTCATAAATAACTTAAATGTCTCCTTGACATTCATGATACAGTATCTAACAGAAGCTGACGTAGAAAAGGATGAGTGGATGTACAGCACTGAGGAGGAGATGTCATAGTATTTGTGTGTTTTGTTTTGTTGTGTTTTTTTAAAGCGTCTAATGCAAGGGTTTCAAATATCAGCCATCAGAGACCGGAGGGGTGACCCAACCATACTTTTCGTGAGTCTTCACCAAACTCTTAAATGTTGCTTCCGCTTCCTTGCGACTGAAGGATTTTTTTGATTTGCCAGCTTTTCTACAGATTCGACCCTGTATGAGAGAGAGGAGAGAGAGGAAAGGGAGAGAGAGAGAGTGAGAGAGAGAGATTTCATTTTAGTTTGATTGTTATATACATATATAAACACATCGTGTATGTGTGTGTGTGTGTGTGTGTGTGTGTGTGTTGTCTAAATAGGTCTAGTTTAACAGTCATTAGAAATAACTGGAGATTCCTCATCCAGAATATAATCTTGGAAATCAGAGCAATTAGCCTAAGAATGATATAGAAAGGAGTATTCAATTACCTACCAATCATTTAAGACAATGGTATCAAACTCAAATAAAAACAGAGGCCACTAAATCATACTTAAGGATCCCTGTAAGCCAAATATTGACTTAGTTTTAAAATGTAGTATTACCTATGTTTTATTATATTTTATTTATTTTGTTAAATATTTCCCAATTACATTTTAATCTGGTACAGGCTGCATTCAGGAGTGTTGCAGTTCATGGGCCACCTTTGATTTATGTAACGGGGTGAGGAAAGGAAGAGTAAGTAGGAGTAGGGAGAAAGTGAACTGTGTTTTAAGTTCATATTCAAATTTTAAAGATCCTGAAAACTTTTTTGAGTGTGGTTTTCTGATATTATGGGGAAATTTAGTAATCAAACAGAAGTCTAATCCTCCAGAGACTGTTCTATTGGGCTAGAAATATCAAGAATGAGTTCCTCTGGGGATGAACTATTAAAATATTCTCTTTGCTTACAGAAACTTAATTTCTTTTTCACTGTAATAGAGCCCCCCAAAGGATCATACTATTAATATGAGGCACTGGAGAATCCCAGCCCTCTCTTGAAGCTGACTTTTCACCTTCCAAATACTGTAAAAAACCAAATCTCTATCTTGCTCTCTGAACCAGCTTTGTTGGAGCCATACCACTCTGACTCCAAACAGATTAGGGATAAATTGGGAGAAATGAAGCATGAGAAATCCTTATACTTCTATACATGAGGGAAAGTGGAGAACTCCCATAGTTGGGCCTACCTCCACTTCTTGATTCTATCTGTTGCAAGTAAAAAAAAAAAAGTTTCTTTTACAACTCCAATTTAGCACTGGCAAAAGTTTGCCTTTTCAAAACAAAGACAATTCAGGGACATAACATGTTCTAAGAGGATTTATAATAGAAATTGTCTTCTGTTCCCCAAAAGGATAACTTAGTGGTCATTAACTTGAGTTCTTTTTGATAGTATAAGCTTTCTTTTCATTGTTCCTCATTTTTAAATTTTAATCTCAAGAAAATTTGCAGATGTTTTTTAATTAGTCTTATTTGTTACAAATTGAGGAAGATGACATGAAGGCCTTGATTTTTGGGGTCATGCCCCTCCTCCCTGCCTAAGGCACTGAGCTCAAATGGAAGACAAAATCTGCTATTTAATCAAATTGTCAGAGAGGAAGACACAGGACCAAGAGTAAGGTATTTTATAACTCTATCTAATCTCTATAGATTGATCTATAAAACATGGTGTCGTCTCAGGTTAGCCAGAGGCTGAAGGAGTTCTGTGAGGATCAGCCAACACTGGAGTGAATATGAAGGTTGATATCCACTCTAAGAATAGTATAGGGAGACACAGAGAATGAATCAGAAACTAGAGATCAGCCTGATTGACTGCCAATGGTTCAGGTTTGAGCTATGGCAAGATAAAATGAGGTCCATCAAACTCTGTCTTAACTGGAGTGCATGATAACAATAATAATAATAATAATAATGATAGCTTGCACTCACATAAAGCTTTACGTTTTTCAAAGTGTTTTATACATTTTGTTGTTATTATTGAGTTGTTTTAGTAATGTTCGACTCTTTGTAACCCCTTTTGGGGTTTTCTTGCCAGATACTGGAGTGGTTTGCCATTTCCTTCTCTGGCTCATTTTACAAATGAGAAAACTGAGGCAAACAGGGTCGAATGACTTGCTCAGGGTCACACAGTTAGTAAATATCTGAGGCCAGATTTGAACTCAGGTCTTCCAGACTCTAGGCCCACCACTCTATCCACTGTGCCACATAGCTACCTCATTTAATCCTTATTACAAAACTATAAGGTATTTATTCCCATTTTACAGATGAACATAGGGTAAGAAGTTCAGCAACTTTCACAGAGTCACATAGCTAGGGAGTAACTGGGACAGAATGTGAAGTTGAGTCTTTTTAAATATAAGTACAGTGCTCTATCTATTACACTACCTAGCTGCACTCTGGGCACATGCTAACAAAATGCTGACTATAGGACCCTACAACGTGTGCAGATTTGTTTATCTTTGAATTCACAGCTGAATTCCTAACTCTGTCTTTTCTGTGGAGATAGTAGAAAGAGCTGCAAGGGGTCAGAAATTTTAATTCTAGTCTTATTTTTTTCACTGGCTGTGTAACTTTGGACAAGTCTTGTGTCTCAGTATTCTTATCTGTCAAATAAAGGTAATGGTGTCATTCATATCCATTTAGGTTGTTGTTTTTTTTTTTTTTGGTGAACATCAAATGAGATCACAGATGTTGAAATGATTCAAATATGTAAGAGTTATAGAGAAGTAAATATTACTATTAGACCATACCCTTTTCTCATTTTTTCCTGCCTTACTTCCTTTACCATTTACAATTTATAATGCTAACTGCTATCTGTTAACATTTTTAAAGTATTATACTGGAGTATTTATTATTAACAATAGAAATAATAATTGGAATTATTATTGGAAAAGTAGTTTTATTGGAAATAATAATTTGTCTCACTTGGATTTTTGCAATACTTTTTTAAAAATTAGATTTCATTTTTGATTTTGAATTTAATGAATATTAAAAGAATGTTTTCAAAGTAGAATAAAAAAGAGTATTATGTATGACATCTATTCTGTACAACTTGCTTTTCAAAAAGTGTATAATAAGTTCAACAGAGTGATCAGGGGATAAGCACAATTTAGTGACTTTCTGGGCATAGTTCCAAATTGCTTTCCAGAGTGGCTGTACAATTCAAAGTTCCACTATAAGGATATTACTATGCCTATCTTCCTACAGCCTCTCCAATAATTAAAATTTTTCTTCCTTCCTTTTCTTCTTCCTTCCTTCCTTTATTTCTTCCTTGGCCATCTTTGCCAGTCTGATAGATGTGAGGCAGAGCTTAAGAGTTGTTTTCATTTGTATAATTTTTAATTATTTGGAGCACTTAAAAATATGGCTATTGATAGTTTGTAACTTTGAAAACTGTTTGTTCATATCTTTTGGCCATTAATCTATTGGCAAATCAGTTCCTTATACATTGTGAATATCATATCTTTTGTCAGAGAAGCTTGCTACAAAGATTTTTTCCCCTGTTAATTGTTTTCCTTCTAATTTTAACTGCACTGACTTTGTGCAAAAGCTTTTCAATTTTGTGTAATAAAAATTGTCCATTTTACTTTCTGTGATCATTTCTATCCTTTGTCTGGTCGTGAATCCTTCCCCTATCCCTAACTGCAAATGAATTTTTCTTTCTCCTCTAATTTGTTTAGGATATGATCTTTTCAATCTAGGCCATGTATCCCTTTAGAACATATTGTGGTATATGGTCTCTGACACTTACTAGCTGTATTACCCTGAGCAAGTCTTTTAATCCTCATCTGTAAAATGAGCTGGAGAAGGAAATGACGAATCACTCCAATATCTTCATCAAGAAAACCCCAAATGAAGAGTCAGACATAACTGAAATCAACTAACTACAACAATAACAAGTGGTATATGGTATGAGAACTTGGACGAAACCCAGTTTTTGTCAGTCTGCTTTCTAATTTTCCCATAGTTTTTTGTTATCATTTTTGTTTTTCAAATAATGAGTCCTCAGCCTGGTATTTATTGTCCTTGAGTTTATCAAACTTTATGTAACTATGCTCATTTGCTTCTATATGTTGTGTACATAATCTGTTCCATTGATTGTTTTTTTTCTGCTTTTTAGTGAGTACCAAATGTTTTGATGATTATTGCTATGTAATATAATTTGAGATCGAGTATTGCTTGGCTTCCTTCATATCATTTAAAAAAAATTTCCTTTGAGAATCCAGAGTGTTTTTTGCTCCCTAAAAATGTAGTTATTATTTTTTCTAGCTTCATAAAGTAATTCTTTGATAGTTAAATTGGTATGGAAATTAGTAAGTAAATTAAGTAGCATTGTTCCTTTTACTTTATTGTCATATCTCCTTTATTACTTAATAAAGTACATGTTTACTTTACACTGCCATATTTATTTATCCCCACCATGAGCAATTAATATTTAGGTCTGTATTTATTTCTCTAAAGAGTGTTTTATAGTTGCATTCATGTAGTCCCTATGTGTGTCTTGGTAGGTAGACTTTTAAATATACATTTTATATAAAATTCTGTATTTTGAATGGGATTTCTCTATCACTGCTGGATTTTATTGGTAATATATAGAAAAACTCATGATTTGTGTGGCAGGGGTTTATATTTTGCTGCTTTACTTAATATATTCATGGTTTCAATTACTTTTTTAGTTGAGTCTTTAGGGTTCTCTGTGTCCTTACTATAATCCATCCTCTATTCAGTTGCCAAGATGATTTTTCTAAAGCCCAGGTCTCACTATGCCATCTCCCTGTGTGATGAGCGCATTTAGGGTTCCTAGGGTCCAGTGGCTTCCTATTATTTGCAGAATCAAATAAAGACCCTGTTTGTCATTTAAAGTTCTTTATAACATAGCCCCTATGTACCTCAGCAGTCTTCTTATGCTCTATTCCCTTCCATCCAGCTACTCTCCCAGTCTAACTGCTATTCCCCAAACATGACACTCCATCTCCCATCTCAGTGTCTTTTTCCTGGCTGTCCCCTCTGCCTGTAATACTTGGTCCTCTTACTTTAGTTTTCTTTTTTTCCTTTAAGTTTCTGCTCAAATTCTACTTTCTCTTGGAGGCCTTCCCAGGTTCCCCCAGATGTTATTTCCTTTCCTTTTCAGATTACCTTCTATCTACTCTATATATAGCTTATATATACCTAGTTATTTACATACTTTCTCCCCCATT